AAAAAAGAAAAAAGAAAAAAAGAGTTTATATTGAAACCTGATATGTTACCAAAGAAAAGGGGACCGTGTATTGAATTTAGAAAAAAACATGTCCACTTTGAAAATGGTTCAATTTATTATTCCAAAACCTAATGTAATCAACAAATAATGATTGCAATATATGCCCTCTAGAGATTGTATTATCTACCTTCCTCTGGTTTGCATATGTTAGACAACAAATTTGAGTAACTCCATAAATCAGGTCCACCAAGCAGGCCAATTTAGGACTTTCAGAACAGTAAGTGCAATTTCAGATAAAAAATTTCAACCAGAACATAGATGCTTTCAGAAGAATGCGACCATAATTTCAAACAAAAAAAGCAATCCCAACCAATATAGGATCACATATCTCACGCTTGTAATTTTTTGAGTTAACATAATAGATCTAGGACCAAACAGAACCCACAAAGCTTCAATCCTAATTTCACCCCTTATGACCAGATGTGGTCTTCTAGGACAAGTGCTTTGTGCAAACTTTGGCATCCAGGAAAATTATTGATGCAAATTATCCAACTATCAGACCATTGCAAGAAGACTTCGGTAACTTCATATCAATGCCTCACTTTCAAGTGCTAACCTTAGAGATAAAAGGGTGTAAGGATCTGCTGCTAAAAAAATTGAAGATTGCAAGTTCAAAGAGACTTCATCTCTACAAGGGTGGGTGACTCGCTTTAACAATATATTCACCCACCTGTTTATTTTCTCTTTATGTGCCGCACATCATTCCATTGCCAGCGAACTTGAAAATATTCAGAGGTAGGGAAAGAAATGAAGAGTTTCAAGTACTGTTTGAATAAATAGAGAATGGTGGGTGCTAGAAACATTCGATAATTGAAGAGCACATATAAAACTTATTTTTGCCTGCAAATTTTTTTCTCACAGAGCTCTAGGAAGAAAGCTAGCTACTAAGGAGACAACAGCTTTCCCACAGAGATCTAGTGATATGGAAGACCCAGGCCTCCTCTACATCATTAAAGCTCGAGGAAAGATTTTGAATATTGATACCTATAGATGAATGGGAAAGGTGTTGCTGTGCTGGTGCTACCATGGAAAGGATGCAGATGGATCTGTCAATCACAAGTTGTTACACTAGTTTTGGGCTGAAAGCACTTTAAAAGCTAATGAATGGAGCTGAGTTTCACTCTTTTCATTCACCAATTCTGGAAGGAGAAAACATGAGAGCTGTGATATTATCTTATTGACTTATATTGTGTTTGCAAAAGGAGCAAGAAAGGGCATTGACAGGGAAGAGGCTTCTCTATTAGGAGTTCATGTTAACGGTATGCAGAGGATGCTTTTACAAATGTAACAAGCACAGCACGTGTGTGTGTAAGTAAATGGTCAGCACCTCATGGTGCCTTTTTTAATAAATTTCTTTTTTGTATCAAAACAAATATACGAGAAACCTTTGGATCACATAAATCAAAATCAAAAGGCCGATGATTTTCTTTTGTTTTGAAAGGAAGACAGTTTGGCAATGATCAAAGCAAGGTCATTACTGACAATTTTAACATACAAAATCCTAAAACTTCAGAAGCACATAATCTCAGTTAAAGACGATGCAGTATCTTGATATTTTCCTTCTAGGAAATAAAATAACATTAATTGAATTCATGGGTCATACATAATCAATGCACATATATGGAAATGACTGCACATTAATCTAGTGATGATGCATGTACTGAAATATAATTACCGAAAGAAGAACAGCAGTGTCTGCTCCTTGAGAATCTTTGAAGGATACATATGCAATCTGAGATTGCTCATTCTCACTACATAAGCATAAGAGATGCTCAGTAATCAAACAACAAAGAAGAATGGAAAAAAAAGGGGGGGGGGTATGGAAATGAACAACGGATTACCTTTTCATTTCAACATATTCAATATCACCAGAAAAAGAAAAGAATTCCTTGAGGTCTTGCTCAGAAGCTCCTAAAGAAACATTACTAACTTTCACTGTTTTTACCTAGAAAAAAGAAAAAATAATGAAAAATTGAAAAGCTTAGAGCCCTGTGGAACCATAAGGATATATAACAAGGATGCCAAGTACAAACATAACCTAGAAATCTCATACTTGAATAATAGCATAAATATGGAAAATTACCACAAAGCAAGGGCCTACAAGGTTCAAATGAAATCCTAAGCACCAATGCATCTGATTTGTAAAAAGGGCATGACTCATGGTGTCAAATGTCCCCTAATAAAAAACATAATAAGCTTTGCTGCCTCCTAGCCAGGTCTAAAGGATGAGAAGAACTTTCTATAATGAAAACCAAAAACAATAAATAACCTAGAAAGAAGCAAAGGGATGGAACAGAAAAATGAAAATGCAAAGGTCATGCGAAAGAATCCCAGACATAAAAGTGCATCAAAAGGCACCCAGAATATCAAAGTAACTGAAAATCCAAATTTTGTCAGGTAAAATAATTGTGGTGCCAATCAGGCGGACCTCTTGTTCTTCTTGTGTGCTTGACGTCTGATATACATTCACACTCACACAGCCTCACATCTACTATCAGTACAAAGGTCTAATTTTTTGCTTCTAGTGTATGATAACTCAATGGTCTAGCTGCCCCAGCCACGCCTTAAAATGCTCAAATAAAGATAGACAAATTATATTTCACATATTCTTAAGCCTCACTTAACAAGGTCTCATTGCAAAACTTTGACTAAACATTTTTTTTTATATGAATAGGCGAGGCAGAAGAAACAATTAGTAACTATATTCCAATATGATGTATGAACCCTAAGGAAACCAACTAGTATGGCAGTAACAAGGGGGTCCTTGTTCAGTCTAAAACATTTCGTTTACATGTTCTTGTGCAAGTCAAAACCAAAGCTATCGGAACACTCACAATTTTCACGATTGATGCTTCAATTATGAGAAACTGATAGGTTAACAGTCCTTAGACTCCAAGTATGCAATCAAAAATTGAATAAACTTAGGATTACTCCAATCTAGTAACACAAGCCAAGCCACGCCCAAATAAATATTATCACACGCATTGAGGGATAACTTCCCATCTTATCATCATCAGGACACCGAAAGATCTATCCACCTCTAACACACATCCTTGCCGAACAAAGACGTGCTTACATAACAAATATTTTCAAGCAAATCATGTTATATCAATCCAAATCAAATATAATATTTAAAAAAAAAGCAAAAACAAATACTAAACAAGGAAATCAAAAAAAGAAAGCAAAAACAAATACTAAACAAGGAAAACAGACAATCATATATATATAGATTGTAAATGATAAAGAAAAAGGTTTATCAAGCATGTGCATTTTGAACATGGCAAGCAAAGAAAGCTTAAGATTGCACAAAAGCATTAACCATCAAACTCAAACAGATCTACGCATATTAATCAATTCAGAGAGATCAAACTTGCTAATTCACCAAAGAGAAATCTTTCAAAAATCAAGAAGAAATAAATGAATGGCAATATTACTAACCGACATGGCGGGCTGCATTGGAAAGTGAGGGGAAGGGTTGGAGTTGGTAAAAGAGAACGAGAGAAGAAAGCGTTAGATGAAGAGAAAAGGGAGGGATTATAAGGAGGAGGTTTGAGGGGCAAAGGTGTGGGGGGGCAGACGCCGGCAGTCGCGGCACGTGCAAATGAGAGACTTCCGATATTGAAGTGAGAGACAGATTAATGGATGGGAGAGCGACATTATGACCTGTGTTTACTACGTTTAGTACCGTGGAAGTTATTGTAGTTTTTTAAAATATTTTTTTAAAAAAATGTTTTAAATAATATATTTTTTTTTAAAAATAATTTTGATATTAATATATTAAAATGTTTTTTTTTAAAATAATTTTGATATTAATATATTAAAATATAAAAAAAATATAAAAAAAATAATTTTAAAAAAAAATCAAAATTTTGAACAAAACGAGTTTCCTTAATGTTCTTTGTGCACCACTAATTAAAAGTAAAACAAGAATTATGAATTTAATTTTATCGTACATAACAAAACAAAAATCGTCAGAAACAAATATACCATCAATAAAATGTTCTTTTTACAAATTTTGTATAGTAAAATAATTAATATATCATCAGAAACAAATTAAAAAAAATCATGTGCTAGTGGGCAAGGGTATTTTTTATTTTTTTTAATTTCAATTGCTCAACAAAAATATCACAATGCCATGTAATTCAAATTGTTTTTGCCTTCGGTAAATGGGTTTTAATGTCTTTTCCGTTTGAATTTTTTTGTGGTTGTGAAGTCTCATAAAGGATAATCTTGTATTTATGCATATATAAAATATTAATTAATTTTAAGAAGATGGCGGTGCATGACATGCATGCGAGTACAAGTGAATGCTCTTGTATTCGTCGTTTGGCGTCCAAAATCCAGTTTCCACGATGATGTTTGACTCCTCACGGTACCGTCCCCATTAACTAGCAGCGTGTGTACCAAAAAACTGCTGGGTTTTGCTCCAGGGACTGTTTCATTTTTCCCTCTTATTTTTTTACTCTCTTTTTCTTGGTTTTAAAGTCTTCTGCTGCATATTTTCAAAGTAAACATTTAATTTAATTTTTATTCTTTATTTTTTAATTTTTAATAATCCATGAAATTAAGATTCTTTTCAATTTAATTCTCCTTCGTCTTCTTATTTTTCAGATTTAGTTTCTATTTTTTTATTATTGAGTTTTTAAAAATTATTTTTTTAATTGTATCCTCGATATTTTATTATTATTTTTAATTTTAAATAATACATCAAATTTGAATTTCTTTTGCTTTAACCCTCCTTTGTTTTTCTTACATTTTATATTTAATTTTTATTATTACATTTTATTTAATCATTCTCTTAGTTGTTTTCTTAATTACATTTCTTGATATTTTATATTAGTATCTTAATTTAATTATTTTAAAAATTTAAACCCTGGATAGTTTAGTTTACTTCATTTTATTTCATTTCATATTTAGTTTTTATTTATTTTTTTATTGTCTTTTATTTTGCTTTTAGTTTTTTTATTGGGACTTTTATTTTAATTTTATTATTTAATATTTTATTTATTAGAGTTTTATTGAGCTTCTAGGTCATAGATTTTAAAGATTGAATTGGGTTTGCTATAAATCTTTTTAGATTATTTTTTATAATTGATTTTTATTAATTTTATTTTTTTATAAAGTTATTATGGTCTCACGAATCAAGTCATAAATTTATTATATTAATCCAGTTTCACCTAACCTGATATTATATTATTTATTTATTTATTGTTGTGTTTGCTCTTTTTTATTATATTATCGAATTAATGTAGGTTTAACCCATTTCTTAAGTTTTAGATGCCTAGACATTTTTTTATTACACTATTGATAATATCCATTTTTATTTTATATTGATTTAAGTCAATCTAGTTTGATCCTTTCATACATGTGATTTGGGTTTTATCTTGAGTTTACTCTCTTAAATTTTAAAATTACAGTAACAATTTTTTTATGTTGTTCAGGGTTAATAGCAAACTCAATTTATAATTCAAGTTTTGTCCCGAATCAATATCTGAATTATGTTTTTAAAATTATAATAATAATAATTTATATTTTTACATTGACTCATGTCAACTGGTGATAAACTAGAGCCATATCCCGGGCCTTAACATGTGACTTGATTTTTGTCCTGGGTTAATCATCGAGTTGAATCTAAAAATACGATGATAATTATTTTTATTATTACATGTATAAATTAGATAAATTTTAAATTAAGAATTTTTTATAATAATATTTAAAAAATAATAATAAAAATTTCAAATACATATTTTTTCTATACCTCCTACTCTGAAGTACATGAACTTGTTTTAAAACTGTTTTAAACATAGATTTATTTTGGTGTTTATGTTTTTATCTCTTTAACTAACTACTTTTATGTTTTTACTATTTTTTTAAAATTTTTATCCCAGAACAATAATAAAACACTATCTAAAAAATGATTGAAATTTCCCGGGGGAATCTAGCCGGGACTCAAATCTTCAATCAGACAATTAAATTCATTTTAGAAAGAAAAACGATTTTACCTTGTCGGAACATGCAAAGCACAATTTTAAATAATCCACAAAATTAAGATTATTTTCAATTCAATTCTCCTTGGTTTTCTTATCTTTCAGATTTAGTTTCTATTCTTTTTATTGTTAAATTTTTTCAAATTGTTTTTTTAATTAAATTATATTTTTAATTGCATCCTCAATATTTTATTACTATTTTTTAATTTAAAATAGTACATAGAATTTGAATTTTCTTTTGCTTTAACCCTCCTTTGTTTTTCTTACATTTTATATTTAATTTTTTTATTTTTTTTATTACATTTTATTTAATCATTCTCTTGAATGTTATTTTTTTCAATTACATTCTTTAATATTTTATATTAATATCTTAATTTAATTATTTTTAAAATTTCAATCATGGATAGTTTAGCTTAGTTCATTTTATTTCATTTCATATTTAGTCTTTATTTATTTTTTTATTACCTTTTGTTTTGCTTTTAGTTTTTTTATTGGGACTTTCATTTTGATTTCATCCCTTGATATTTTTTTTATCAGGATTTTATTAAACTTCTAGGTCATAAATTTTAAAGATTGGATTTGGTTTGCTATAGATCTTTTTAGATTATTCTTTATAATTGATTTTTATCGATTTTATTTTTCTATAAAGTTATCTTGATCTCACATATTAAGTCATAATTTTATTATATTAACACAACTTCACCTGGTCTAGTATTATATTATCTATTTATTGTTGTGTTTGCTTTTTTTTATCATATTATCAAATTAATGTAGGTTTAACCTATTTCTTGAGTTTTTAATGCCTAAACATTTTTTATTTTTGTTATACCATTGATAATATCTATTTTTATTTTATGCTGATCCAAGTCAATTCAAATTGATTTTCCCATACATGTGATTTGAATCTTACCTCAAGTATACTCTCGAGTTAAGTTTTAAAATTATAATAATAATATTTTTTTTTTGTAATGTCTATGGTCAATAACAAACTCAATTTATAATACGAGCTTTGTCCTGAATCAATCTCTTAATTATATTTTTAAAACTATAATAATAACAATTTATATTTTTACGCTGACTCATGTCAATTGATAAGTAACTAAAGCCATGTCCCAGGCCTTAACATGTGATTTGATCTTTGTCCTGAATTGTTTATTGAGTTGAATTTAAAATTATAATAATAATTATTTTTATTATTATATGTATGAGTTAAATAAATTTAAAATTAATTTTTTATGATAATATTCAAGGAATAAAAAATAAAAAATAAAATTTCCAAATATATGTTTTTTCTATACCGCCTACTCTGAAGTACATGAATTTATTTTATAACTGTTTTAAACATAGATTTATTTGGTGTTCAAATTTTTACCTCTTCAACTAGCTACTTTTATCTTTTCATTATTTTTTTAATTTTTATCCTAGAATAATAACAAAACACTATCTAAAAAAATGATTGAAATTTCGTGGGGGAATCTAGCCAGAACTCAAATCTTTAATCCGACAATTAAATTCATTTTATAAAAAAAAGATTTTACCTTGTCGGAACATGCAAAGCACTATTGATAATTCAAATTCATGGGAATATATATTTTAAAAGTTTTGGTAATTTTGTTGTTGTCACGTTTTCCATAAATTATTTTTCCATCAAATCAATAAATTAAACGCACAACGACCACCTCAATTTCTGGTTTTAAAAAACGAATATTTCTGAAAGAAGTAGTGCCGTTGTCTCTGTTCATACCCCCACCCCCTCTTTTAATCTATAAGCTTCTGTTGCTTTCTCCGACCACAAACACCGCCCATCCCACCCCTAAAATTTTAAATTAAACACATACTAGCACCACATCACCACCACCATCACGCGAAGCCATTGTTTTTCCCTGACCAATCGCTCTCTCCCACGTGTCCCTCCTTCAGGGATCCACATCAACGTGCCGGCACAGAATATTCATATCCTCACCCGAAACCCCAGAAAACAAACATACGTCATCATTCTAATCTTCCTTTCCCTGTCCCTCCTCTCTCTTCTCTCTCTCTCTCTCTCAAATCATCAAAACAATTTTCTCAATTCACGCCGTGTTATTAGCTACTCTTCTTCTTCTTTTTTTCATCTGCCTTAATCGATTCTTACAACTGTATCCAAACAACCCGCTTCTCCCCCCTTTCTCGGGAAAATCCCCTCGTTATCTCTCGAGAAACTGCTGGTTGGGGTTAGGGATTTTCAATCAACGGTTCGATTAAATTTTAGTTTAATCGAATTAAAATAATATAATAATAATGAGCTTTCAAGATCTGGAGGCAGGGCGACCCTTGGCATCTTCAAGGAGAGAACTGATCAACGGGAAACAAGATGCCACGCAAGCGGTTGCTTCTGGAATCTTCCAGATCAACACCGCCGTTTCCACTTTTCAGCGTCTTGTTAATACCCTCGGGACTCCTAAAGACACGCCTGAGCTCCGGGAGAAGCTGTAAGTTTATTTTTATTTTGTTGCCGTTTTGAGTTTCTTCGTTTGTCGTTTTGACTACATGACGAGATTTATGGTCGATTTTCCATAATTATTTAGAATTAAATTATCGAAGTTGTGTAATTTTCTGTTTGGATGGTATTATTGAAGTGAATTTATTGTGTTTACAGAGCTGAAATTAAATCACAGGCGTCTGAAAATGAACAGGGTTAGAAGACTG